GAAAGAAAGAAAGAAAGAAAGAAAGAAAGAAAAGAAAGAAAGAAAGAAAGAAAGAAAGAAAGAAAGAAAGAGAGAGAGGAAGAGAGAAGAAGAAAGAAAGAAAGAAAGAAAGAAAGAAAGAAAGAAAGAAAGAAAGAAAGAAAGAAAGAAAGAAAGAAAGAAAAACGAGAGATGCGAATTTTCAAGGTAGACATGCCTAGCAAGGGTGCACCGCCCCCAGATCCCACACAGCACATGCAGAGAACACCACCTCAAACTCAGGTGCACCATTTGGGACCCTGGACGTTTTGGGTCTATTTCTCTCAAGCGACGTTCCCTGTTCTCCAAGCCAGCTGCCGAGACAAGCTGCTATTGGGTGTTTACACAATGGCCGGGTGGGGGATGGGGGACCAACGCATAGGGGAAAAAAAGGTGGAGAAGGAAGAAAATCCGGAACTGCCATCCCTAGAAAACATTATCTTCAAACTCACTGCCTGGACGACGTGTCCCGGGCTCTTCCCTTCCTAGAAACAGCTCAGCCACCGCCCTCACAATCCCCCAGTGTCCCCTGTCCTGCTCTGTCCCCGCGTCCCACGCCTCACCTCAGCACGCCCCACCCCGGTCATCTTGGCACTGCGCCCGCAACATGCAGGAGGAGGTAATGCCCTTCGAAGTCCAAAGCTGACAGGTCAAGAGTGCACAACTAAGTTTTTTTTAAATCTATAATATTTACAATATTGCACTTTACTGCACCGAATTGCATGTCACTACCGTTAATGCTGCATTACACCTTAAAACCACGTGCCCCTGTGTCCCGATGCAAGTCATTTGCATCTGAATTCTGTCAAACAGCGGGGGGCGAGGGGAGTCAATTCAGGAATCAAAGACTGGAGAAGTAATACAGTTGCCTGTTCGACGGCACAAGAAATTCTGAACCCGGTGCTTTGGGGGCCAAACGTTTGCATGGAGACGGTGAGTCGGGTCCCCAGGAAGGTCACAGCTCGGGACACTGAGGTCCCCCCACCACCACCACCTTGGCGAGGTCCTCAAATGCGTTTCATTATTGCTGCCTTTGGGTCGGGATGGAGGTGGGCGAGCGCACAGAGCAGGGGCTCCTGCCTCGGATGCAAAAGTCCACACTGAAATCCGCACGGGTCCTGCAGCTTCTTGGATGAAAGTAAGTCCATGGCAGTGAATTAAAATTATTGGCAACCAAGCATTGGCATCTTCAGCGGAGACCAGCCCCAGATCTTTTGGTTTAATCGACTCTTAAGATCTCGGAAAGGCGCGTAGGAGGCCGCATGCAC